GCTTATATATAGAAAAAAATAAACTTATTTTATTCAATGATAAAATGTATTATCAATTGTTGTAAAGCTAAATGCAAATAACAGATTTGCAAATCAGTCAACTTTTATTACTGTAGCACTTTGTTCATTCAATATCACCAAGGGATGAAGTATGCATATAAGGCAATGTTCTAAGTATGAACAGCCCTCTGCACACATGACAATTCAACTTGTGTTGATTTGTATTTTTGCTGTTCGGCTGACTACACACAGTCAACATATTGCCAGCAGGCAGGCAGCACACATATTAAGATCCACCAGTCAACCTACTTCCTGGTGCTTACTACGAGCAGCACCCCAACAAACCCTCTCAATCTGACCATAAAAGCAGCTGTCCTTCACAACTTCTCTGCCTCTGGACTTTGTCTTTAGCACGAGCCTTGGTCCAAACTTGTGATTTTGGTCAAGCTGCACAGGGAGGCAGGAAGGATGAAAAAGGAAATTAATAGAAAAAGGAGGATTGTTTAATACTATAAAAGCAGTAGCAGAAGTTTACAAATGCTTTGAGCAATGGCAGGATCATTGTAATTAAAATATGGCTTCCCTGGGAAAGCGGCTTTGAAAAGTTCAGGAATGAGTTTGATGACATATACATTTCAGTTTTGATTTTTATATATATTCCCATTATTTTATATGACTCCTGCCTGCAGGTAACAAGAACTTACTAAGTAAAAATAATTGTGTATTTTAAATAAGAAAAACTTGATTTCTAAGGGAGATCTAAGAAAAATTTTTTTAAAATAAGAAAAACTGTGGATAATAACTAAGACATGAAGTACATGTATGTACTCCCAAGGCTGTTTCCCCAGCATCCTTCCCAATGAAAGAATTATGACTTCAGCTTCATCTTTGTAAATTTCAAGTGTAAGCAGGTACACAACATTTGACCTGCCCTTTTTAGACTTTTCACCAAAACCCATTGCCCAACACTGCACATGGGAATGCGATCCTCTTATCTTTCCCAGGGTTACATTGCAAACCCTGTGTTATACTCTACAATCAGTATTTACTCCCTTTCCCTTCCCATTTCCCACTTCCATCTTTTAAAATTAAAATTCTGGATGACTAAGGAGGTATCCCCTTTACTATACCAAATTCTCCTAACTAAAACATTCTTGCTTCTCCTTCATTCCAGAATTAAAACTTGATTGGCAGGCAGAAATCTACCCTTTATTCCATTCAATCACTTAAAATACCTGCATAAAATAAAAAATTATAGCAATGGCAGCACTCTGCCTTCTTCCAACAAAATACTAGCCTTGTGCTCAAAATAGAAAATGTATGATTTTATGGAACTAGACTGATGTTCAGCATGAATTATTGAGTTCTGATTTTTCTCCAAGATTCATTCCATTCATGTCATTACCTTTATGAGAGAGGAGTCAGCATCACATGACTGAAATTAAGAAAGGGGTGGGGATAACTGTTGATTTACTCTAACATTGATTATTATCAGGTATGGAGCACATATGAAAGAAGGTAAATACACCCCAAGACTTGAAAACCAACTGTAAATTAGGGACAAAGCTACTCCTTCTCACAGATGATTGCTGACAAGGGCAATTTATAAAGACCTTAAAGAACCATGTCCTCTAATTAAGTATGTGTAACAGTTATTTGAAATTAGTCATCCCAGCCTTGTTCATAATAACAGAAAATAATTTTAATGTCTAACAATAACAATAAGGTACTAGTTAAATAAATTATATCCACAATTTGGAATATTCTTTAGCCATTAAACTGACTTTCCCTATATTAAATTCTCTCTAATGTTTACGCCACTGATTTTTTAAAAAATTCTCTCGCATGGACCTTGTGATTTAAATAGTCCTCTGAGAGATTTTTAGCCACTTCCCAGATACCTTCCCAGACACCACCCTAACTGAAATGCAAGTCATTATCTCCAGGCAACCAAATTAATAATTCATTGTGGATTCTATCTGAGGACTGAGAATTTGGTAAACAAACTGCCTTGGTTCAGAATATTTGAACTTGGTCTGCCATTTTGTTTTGGCTTCAGCGATACAGGACATTTTGGATGTTTTTCAAAGAGATGGCTTTGGACAATCTTTATTAACATTCTTGTCTCAACATAGGTAAGCAGGAAACTCGGTTTTTTTCCCCAATTTATTTATTTATTTTCTTTTT